GGCGGGGCAGGGGGATGAGGCGAGGGCGGGGTCGGCGCTGACGTCACCGCTGGGGGGCGTCCCTGGCCGGCGCCGGGCTTTGACCATTCAATGCGTGCGCCCGCGACGCCAGCGAGGGGCGGATGCGGCAGGCTCGATCGAGTGCATGCCGTTGCGGAGCAGTGGCGCACGCGGACGGCGCACCTGGGTCGGGGCCCTTGGGCGCCGAAGCGCACGCCGCCTGGTTTGGGCAGCCGGCGCAAGCTGCCGCCTTCCCTGCCTCATCGCTGGACGTCCCAGGGCAGTCTATGGATGCAGAAATGGCAGAGGTTGAGCCGCTGGATGGCACCAGCTCAAATCAATTGCATGCCGCCAGCCACGCGCTATCGCACTCACGCTCAGGCGCGTCCGAGGGCTTCTCCTCCATACTTCAAGTTGATCGCGATGGAGAGGCGCGGCACCTGGAGATGATCTGCACCTTTCTGCGCGCGCTGTTTTACGAGCGCATGTAAGACGTTTCAGTCACTTTTACGATGTTTCAGTCAATTCAGTCGCCTCGCGTGTTTATTCGTCGCGCTCAGGTTGCGTTGTGGCGCACGGCAGCTATTGCAGCAGCTTCTGCATGTGCTGACGGCCGTGCTCTCTTGGGCAGCTGCCCCCATCGCAGTTCCCATGGCTCTCCTGCGCTCAATCTATGCCGTGAATATGGATAAGATTGTTCCAATGACTTACACGGGGGACGCAGAACTCCACGCCGCCGTCAACGCACGCAAAATTCCCAGCGCAGAAGATGGGGCCTCACACACGCAACAAACACGGATATCTGACAGGGCCGATGCGCCTCAATGTGAGGGGGCATCGAGCAGCATGACGCGGCGCGGGCGGGGCTGAACGAACAATGCAGGCAAGGCACGCACGGGAGGGCCGGCGGAAGCATCGTCGCTGGCAAACGGCCGCGGCGGCCCTTTTCGGGGGCGCGCGGGCGGGAGCCCATCACAAGTCCCAAACCCACGCCCGGGGTCGATCGGGCGAGCCGCAAAACTTCAAGGTCTCGTGCCAAGTGCTGAGCAGGGCCTCACACCACAAACCTGAGCGCGAGCGGGACGGGAGCCGCACCAAACCTCTTTGCGCCGGCGCGGGGGGCGCGCGGCGCAGGGACGACGACGGGCCAAAGCTGAGGGAGTGGCAAGAATGGAGTTGCGCCCGGGCGTTTCGTAGCCCCCCGTCGAAAACCAGGCGGGTGCTCGCCGGGGGCGTGCGGGGCCTTCCTTCAGAAGTGCGCGGCCCGGGAAGCGACCCCCGCCCACACGGGCACTGAGCAATGCAGCCAGGGGGGGCGGAGCCCACCCCCAAATCGACCGACCCCGGGACGCGCCGCGGCCAACGTGCGGCCGCGCCCGGGGACGAATGGGCGGCACACTACCCTTCCCTTTCAAACAGTGGGGGAGCCACGCGCGAAAAAGTCGGCCAGCGGCAGCGGAACGCCCGCGAGCATGGGAGCAGAAACCCAGCGGCAGGGCGCTCAATGGCCGCGGGGCGGCAGCCGAACAGCTGAAAGGGCTCGTGACAAACCGACCTCCCACCCAAAAGCGCAGCCGCCAAGGCGGGCGCGGGCCTGGAGGCCGCGCGCCCGCCATGCGTGCATGCGCGACGGGCCACCAGACGTGCGCATCCCGCGAACACCAACGCGCTGATTAATATTCGTCATTGTCGTGCGTCCAAGGGACACTGTGGGGGACAGATCATCCGGGCTCCGCGCGGGGCGCCGTCCAAGGAACGGCGCCAGGCAGGCTCAACGGACGCGAGGGGCCGGGGCCAACTTGCGAGGGGTCCCAAACGAAAGCGCGGGCAAAGAGTCAAGGGCCGAGGCGGAAAACGTGTGTGCGCCGAGCGCAGGATCTGAGCCGCTGAGCAGGACCTGAGCCGGCGGCCCGGCCCTGCCGCAATGCCGGCCGGGGCCTCGGGCCGCCAGGGCCGCGCGGCGCGGGGCGGGCCGCCAGCCCGCCCCCGTCCAGCGACTGGGGCCGCCCCTGGGAGCGGGCACGGCGCGCGCAGGAGGCGCCGCGGCGGCCGCCGGCGCACCCCAAAAAGCGTGGCGCCGCCCGGACGGCGGGCGCACGCCCATGCAGGGGCGCCGCCGCCGCCGCTGCTCAGCGGTGGTCGCCCCACGTGCGCTCCATGCCGTTGTTGCCCGCGGCGTTCTGGTAGAACACCATGTTGTCTGGCGGCGCGTTGGGCATCCACCCAGACCCGACGTCGCTCGGCGGCGAGTGCTGCTGCATGTGGCCGCCCTGGCCCTGCCCGCCGCCCTGCTGGCCCGGGGGGTGCTGCAGCGGCCCCAGCCCGAGGCCGTTTAGCGCGCCCGTGATGTTGCCGACGCCCGCCGCGCCGAGCTGCTGGCCGAACTGCGCCGCGGCCGCGAGCGCGCCGGGGTCGACGGGCGGCATGCCGCCGGGCGGCGCGGTGGAGGGCGGCATCTGGCCGAGGTGGCCGGGGTGCTGGCCGCCGCCGGGAGGGCCGGCCATGCCGAGGAGGTGCTGCGCCATCCAGGGCGAGTTGGCCATCATGACGGACAGGTTAGCGGGGTTGGACAGCATGCTCTGCAGCATCTGCATCGCGGCGGCCGCGTTGGCGCCGTTCATGCCACCCTGTTGGGGGTTAAAAGGCGGGGCGCGGTGGGAAGGTCGTCGGATTCCAAGTGTGTGCGTGTGTGTGTGTGTGTGTATGTGTGTGTTGTGTGCGTGCAGCTGCTCGTGCAACCGCAGCGCCTGGGCCGAGCGGTCAACGACGCCGCCAGGCGTACAGGGCCAAGCAAATAGGCAGCTCCGGCAAGCAGGACGCCACGCCCCGCAGGCCCCCGCCGCCGCGGCGCGCGCCCGCACCCGCCGCCGGCGGCAAGACACCCCCAGGGTGTCCCCGCGCACCATCATCTTGTTGTGGCCGCCGCCGTCGCCCTCCCGCTGCAGCGTGACCTTGTCCATCTCGTGGCGCCCCACCAGCTGCAGCATGCAGAACCTGTCCCCGTACTCGGGCCCAAACTTGGCGCGGTCCTTCTCCATCGCGCGCACCGCCTCCTGCGGCGTCTCAAACTCGATGAACGCCATGCCCGTGGGGCGGCCGTCCTGGTGCATTATGAAGCTCACGCCGTCGGGCTTGATCTTGTAGCCCGAGAAGAACTTGCGCACGTCCCCGGGGCCGGCCTTGAAGGGGATGCCCTTGACCTTCAGGATGCCCTCGCCCCCAAAGCGCAGCGCGAGCGTGGCCTGCATCTCCTTGCGGGACACCTGGATGAGGCGCACGTAGCGGTCGCCAAACTTCTCGTGGAACACCTTGTGGTCCTTCTCCCGCAGCGCGCGCGACGCCTCGTCGGGCGCCTCAAAGTCCACAAACGCCTGGGGTAGAATAAGTTTGTGTGCGCGGGTGGGTGGG